GGAGGCAGGAAGCTCTGTTGTCAAGAGGTGTTGGGATGTTTTGTGTGCTCCGTGTGCCTGGCTCTCACAGGGTACTGGATCTTTGTATGATGGCTGTTTCAAGTCTTTTAAGCTTTCTCCTCTTTTCTCTAGCCTGCTTTAAGGAAATGCCATTAGCTTGTATTAATAAGAATCACATTATCCCCTTTGCCTGGTCACTATCATATGCTGTTTGTGCATTTGTGGGGGCAGGGGAGGCAGTTACTAGATAATTCTGTGTGAATTAACTGATTGCCATGTGGAATTAGGAGGTAAGAAAAGAATGGATTGATGCTTTGCCCTTAGAAACAGGAGGGTATATACAGGTGTTGAAGACCATTCTCTTAAAGTGTGAATTAATGAAGGAAGCAGCCCCATGATGTCTTAAGGCCAGAACTGGGATGGTTTACCTTATGGAATTGTTAGCAGCTCAACAGCCTCGTCCTTGGCTGTCTGACATGGTCTCTCAGCCCAGAGCTGACTGTGACGCTTTAATAAAAGTGTGACAGCACGTGGGTTTGTGAAGTGCTCTTGGTATCAAGCACCAAAAATAATCCATGGGCAGTTTGGACTTTGTGAGAATGGTCAGTCTTGGGCTTTCACAAAAAATGCGATTGTTTCTAGTGCTAATAAAATATTTCCCAGTCATCCTGACAGGCAGCAGCCATCTCATGGGTTAGCACGGAGAGTTCAAAATAGCTGAGCTGTGTGCTCTTGTCACTGCTCTCTGTCTCCTTGTTCTGCAGGGCCCTGCTCCAGCTATCGCTGGGGGTCTTGCCTATAACATTTTATTTTACAGGCTTTTCTGACTTTTAGTGTTTCTTCTATCCTAAAATAGTTACAGTGGCTGGTTTCAGGTCTGCAGAAAGAAACCTCTTTTGCAGCACAATCTGGGTGGTATAATTGGTAGCCACATTTTTCAGCTCCCAAATGATTCTCTCTCATGATTTTTGTGGGGCTTCATGGGCCCCACAAGTGATTGCTGTGGTGATAAGTGAATCCTGTGTATGCTGGCCTGTGAGATTCCTGCTGCCCACCAGCTGTGGATATGGAGGAAGATGAAACACCTGCTAAGGTAGTGATGTTACAAGAGATGCTGAGATTGCACCATGGGAAGGTAAAGCTACCTAACTTGTGTGGTAGTTTCTAGTCCAGCTCTTCTACCCTGAACCAGAACACACAGTGTGTTTTGGTATCTGACAGCTGAGCAGTATGTACAAATCCTTGTAGCTCTAAGCTTGCCTAGTATGAATGTCAGAGCAGGGGAGGAAGAGTCAGAGCTAGGGCCTAACAATCAAGACTGCCTTTTAGGACAGTGTGAGAGACCAATTCCTCTTCTAAAAGAATCTCATAGCTGTTTTCTTCCCCGTGCAGGAACCCTTGACGGATGCGGAAAGGATGAAGTAAGTGTCCTGCTCCCCCTTTATGCCTGTCATACTGCAACTGTGTGGGTGCTGATTCCTCACATTCTGCCTGTGCCACCTGTGCAGTGAAGTTGACTGGCCCTGCAGGCTCCTCTCAGATCTTCAGTCTTCTTGGGGCCATGTGGGCAGAGCTTTGGTCTGTGCCTTGCCAACCTGTGCCTTGCAAGTCCCTCCTGCTGGAGGAGGAGGCAACGTGGACCCCCAGTGCAGATGCAGGCAGAGGAGTTGATGGGTGTGGAAGAAAGTAGAAGTCTTTAACAGAGGTGGAGAGAGGATTTTTCCCTTCTATTCTTCTAACCTGGACTGGGATAAATTATTGATTGGTTTTCATTCATCAGTGAGGGACACTGGAGCTGTGCAGCTCATCTGTCTTTATGCAAGCACTGTAACCTGAGAGGGAGCTGGGAGCCAGCTGGCATGTGCTTCTTTGCCCTTGCTCCAAGAGTGTTTGTCTGTCTTTCCTGACAGAGATGTACCTCTTGCTTCATGTGTTGGAGTCTCCCAAGCGTTCAGTTCCTGACTTCCTGGGGCCCCTGTGAGGGCTCTTGGGCCCTAGTGCAGGGCAGCGGGGTGGGGATGCTGATGTGGAACACTCCTTATGCACTCAGTGGTACCTTGCTCCTGGTTCCTGCCCCAGGCTACTGCAACATGAGAATGAGGAGCTTCGGCGGCGGCTGACTTACGTGACTAACAAAATGGAGGCAATGGAGAGGGAACTGGAGTCAGGTCAGGACTACCTGGAGATGGAACTGGGCCAGAACCGTGAGGAGCTGGAGAAGTTCAAGGACAAATTCCGTAGGTATGACAAAGAAAATGAGAGGGGTAGAGTTAGATCCCTCTCACCAAAGACTCCCTCAGCTGGCGTGAGCAGGCTGTGCCCTGTTGTGCAAATTAGAGGTGTGCTGCATCCTGGAAAAGGTGCACCTCCAGACTCTAGGGGAGATAAAGGCTCTGCAGCCATTATTTCTTCCCAGATACAGTGTAGGAATGTTGCCAGCATGAAAGGCTGATGACAGGGAATTCCTCATCTGTTGTATATAAGCACGTGTGCGAAAAATGCCACTGGTGGCTGCAAGAAAATGCATCATTGTTTTATCTAAAACGTATGTAGGTTAAAAATCGGTGCCAATCACTGGTCATGTGCTTAGATGTGACATAGCTCAGAGGAGTCCTCCAAAGTCATCTACATCCCCTCCTGCACCTTTTACCCTGCCAGCCTCATCTTGTCTCCAGTAACTTGGGGTCTGAAAGCCATCATATATCAGAGGTGAGGCATAGTTAATGTGCCTAGTTGTCTTAGTACCAGTCTTTCTGAGTTCTAGAGTTGGTGGTTTTCTTGGCACCTATGAAGGCAACTTGAGTAGGTGCCTGAGATCCATTCCCAAGCATACAATCTTGTTTCTGTAGGTTGCAGAATAGCTACACTGCTTCCCAGAGAACCAACCAAGATCTGGAGGAGAAGCTGCATGCCCTGGTGAGTTTCCTATTAAGTCCCTAGAGAGATGAGATGGAAGAGACCAGTGTGTGTTAGGAGCAGATGGAGGAAGGGACCCTCTCTTTACCTAGCAGATGTGGCAGTGGGTGAGGGGTGAGATTCTGGCCATGACCATCTACTCCCCATTCTGGCTGGTGTCATGAGTGGTTTTCTTGATTTACAGAGCCCGTACTTGGTCATGCATGAGAGCTTTGGTTCCTCACAACGTAATTGCATGATATTCCGTCATGTTGCTTCAGTCCCTCTCAAAATGCCAGGGATGTGTCAGCTAGTCTTGGGGTGGTCATCCTGGGAGGACGGGGGCAGTCAGAGCAGAGCCAATGTGCGTGTATGTCTGTTGTGTGCATTCATAACACTCATGGCTGTTTCTTTTCTCTCCCTCCCCCTCTCTTTCTCTTTCTCCTCCCCACGCTGCCGCTGGCACACTCTGGGCGCACTCACCTCTCAGGCCTCTCTCAGCCAAAGCTGGATTTTTGCAGTTGCGTCTTTTCGTTTGTGTGTTTTTCCTTTTTCCTCTTACGTGTCTCAGCCTGTTGGTCTCATTGTCAATCCCACATACACCATCTCAGATGGAGGGGCCCCAGCCCTCGTCCAGCCAAGGGCTCACCTGGTATCCAGCAGCTGCCCGCAGATGCAGCAGGTCCTAGCTTGCAGGGCTCCATCTTGAGAGTGTTTGACTCTGAGCCAGCTGGAGCATGGCATGTTGGGAAGTGGTGCCCATAAGCAGTGGCACTGCACGAGGTGTGGATGGCTGTGAGCCTCATTTGCTCCCTTTCCTCACCCTTCTGAGCTGTGAGCAGGCAAGTCAAATAGCTGAGGTGCTGATTGCTTCCTTGTAGCCCAGAACGAGATTTCTTTGGTTCTAGAATATGAATTTCTTGGGTTAATATTCCTTCCCAATTATTCATTGTGCTGGTGCCTGAAGAGACTGCATACTGGGGAAGTATTGGCTCCCCTATCCCCTTGCATGTTGGTGTGCTGTACCTGTGATGCACAACTGGCCCTGCTGGTCACAACACCCTTGGGCAGTTTGGAAGAACTTCTTATGACCGTGACAGCTTGGTTGTTCTGAGCTTTTATCCCTCTTTGCTGTTACATCTGGGTCTCTGTCAGCCCTGTACCTGAACTGTTAGGGAGTCTCAAGAGGCAAGGTTGCCTGCTTTTGGGAGGACATTAGCTGAACTTCAAATGAAGTGACAGGTCCTTTTACTTAGTAGAGCAAGGCTTAAACTCTTTCAAGATGGTGCCTTCCCCCTTTTGTCCATTCAGTATTGACTGCTGGATCTTTTCAGGCAGTATTGTTTCAGTTTCCCCAGGAAGGAGGGCTGGGTACCACAATCTCAGAGGTCTTTGCTACCAGTAGCAGATTGGGATTGGTTGCTCAAAACCACTAGTTCTTTTTGAGGCACCATGGGAACCAGGGGCAGGGAGGAAACATGCTGATGCTGCAAGAAGAGATACTACATTACGGAGGTTCAGACTCAAACTGTTGTCTCTGTAGCTAGCAGAGCGACTGGTCCCATTTGGCTTTTGGAATCACCTTCCTTTGAAGAGGGTTGTCTCCCTTGTCTGTCTGTCTGGAAGTTTTTTGTATCCCAGCTGAACACGTCATTGTGCTATGCTTGGGCTGAGGTGGGTGGTGAAGCTGGGTTCTGTGCTAGAGTGTTTTAAACCTGGTGTTCTCACATCCCAGATAAAAAAGGCAGAAATGGACCGCAAGACACTGGACTGGGAAATTGTAGAGCTCACTAATAAGTTGCTTGATGCCAAAACCACCATCAATAAGCTGGAGGAACTCAATGTAAGTGTCAGTCTGCAAATGGCTGTGAAAGTGTGTGAGGTGTGGGGTTTTCCTTTTGTTCAGTTATTAGTGTAAAGGAACACATGAATGACTCCAGTTTGCATGGCAGTGCAGGAGCTGTACATGATAGCAGGGACAGACAAACAGAAGAGGGTCTGAGGAGTTGAACAGGAAGAATGGATCGTCAAGTTTGATGTATTTGCTTAGGGTCTGACCTGAGTATGGGCTGTACCTGTGGAGGGATCATTCACTCCAGAGCTGGGACGGAGCTGATTGCCTTTTCTACACCATTAATATAGCAGTTCTTGGATCCAGTGCTTGGCTCTATTAACTGCTCTCAACTCCCTCCAGTCTGTTGGCATCATCAGATACGGCTGAGCTGTGGGATGGGAGAGAAAATCTGGTGGGATTCTTTGGGATGATTAAAATCCTCAGAGGGAGAGGGGCTTGATACACTGACAGAGGGTATTCCAGCAACAAAAACTGGAGTTGAAAGGGATACCTAGGCTGAATTGTAAGAAAATACACAAAAGTATGGGGAGGAGGGAATGGCACTGCCCTCATGAGTAATTCATTAGATGGCTCTTCTGGTTTCTCTTCAAGCAGTATCTGGTCAGGTGGTGCCTTTTTGGGTAAGAGCTCGGGTGAGTCTGACAGTGTCGCACACCTGTGCCTTCTCTTGCAGGAACGCTATCGACAGGACTGTAACCTTGCAGTACAGCTGCTCAAGTGTAACAAGTCTCACTTCAGGAACCACAAGTTTGCTGATGTGAGTAGTAATCCTGCTGAGGTGGGGAAGAAGGGCTCATGGGCTTTGACTGCATTTTGCTTTCTCCAGCTTCCTCTGCGTGGCTGCTGCCCTCTCATTCTTCAGTCTCAGAGGTGGGGGGAGGTTCTTGTTCCCACTCCCACTGAGAAGGCAGCACAGAGCTTCTGCCAGCTCCTCTTTCATGACAGCTCCATTTCACTGTTCAACCAGGAGCTGTTATAAAAAGCACAATAACCTTGAACTTGATAGCCTGCTGTGTGCATGCTGGTAGCTGGCAGGAAGACAGACCTCTGTCTTACTCTGCTCCATCCTTTTTCCTTCCTCACCTGGCCACATGGAAGGGCCATACTGCCTCATAAGAAGTAGCAGTAGTCTGACCTGATGTTACTTACTACTCTGAGAAGTGTGTGAGGCAGCATTTAGGGTTTTCTGGGCCTTCTGAGCAGGAGAAGCTGGTACCAACTCACTCCCCCTTGTGGGGAGGGATGAAGGTGGGGGCAGTTTGGCTCATCCTGCTCTCATCTCCTTTCACATTAGTAGCATCAGTTCTTTGGTTGAAAGTATTGTCCAGGCTCTTAGCCCAGCTCTCTCTTTGCCATACCTCTAGTCTCTGTCCCTTCTTGTGTTGCTCTCAGCAAAACTACATGCTTGTCTTTTTTAACTTAGCAGGTGACCACTATGTCACCCTCCCCCATTGTGTCTCAAATTAGCACTCTTGAGGTCAGTGTATCAGTTACTGCTGGGGTAACCTTGACCTCTCTCCCAGCTGTCCCCCCTCTCTGGAGCTTTGAATTGTGCCCCCCAGAGCGCTGTGTTCCACACGGCTGCCACTGGAGGGGGTTTGGTTCTGAGAAGCTGTGCAGCCTGCCTGCCTCAGCCAGCTGTTGTTATGCAGTGTGCCCTGCATGCCCAGATGTGAGTGCAGTTTCCTTCTGGCTGTGATGGGACAGACCTCGCTGTGCCACTGAGTGGCTTGGGGACCTCTGCTCTCCACTTTATGCTTCACTTGCCTGTGGTGACCCAGGTGAGGGCAGCTTGGCAGGGTGATGGGGAGAGCAGTAGTGCCCATTTGCAGGACAAGGAGTAGTGCTTACCCGCTCGTGAGACCCCAGTCCAACAACTTTGGTAATCAGCCCTATGTTTGTCTCTCTGAAATGGAGCAGGGTGATGTGTTGGAGTTGGTAGGAACACAGGAAGGCATCGATCCTGGTCTGCAGGCAGGCTGCCAAGGCAGCATGGCTACAATTATGCATTCAGGGAGCACTGTTGATCTCAGCAGTGGGGGCTGTAGAGTCACTTCAGTGCAACCACCAGCTGATTTTCCACAGATCAATATACCCTTTCCTAGCATGTGCTGCCTGAGCCTTATCTCTGTGCTCACAGGCATGTGGGACTGAGCCCACGTGTTGTCTTTACCTGTTGACTTTGCCAAACAGAGCCTGTGAACCATGGCCTAGAAGCATGACTGATGTGACAGTTAGAGAGCCTTGTTAGTCACTCATGGGGCAGGTTTGCTTTGAAAAAAGATACCCTTCTGAAGGCAAGGTAGGTGAATGTTAGGGTCAAGATAATGACTATGAAATACATGTGTAGGTTGGTTGGAAAAGGCAGATTATATGAAACTAAATGGCTTGCATGGCAGCCCCCTTCTAATGTCCTTTTCCTTCTCCCTAGCTTCCCTATGAGCTGCAGGACATGGTGAATAAGCATTTGCACAGCACACAGGAGTCTGCAGGCCCTGGCCAAGAGACATTCCACACCTTGGCTCCATCTGATGTTGTGCCCACCTCAGTCATTGCCAGAGTTTTGGAGAAACCAGAATCTCTGGTTCTGAATTCAGCCAAATCTAGCAGTGGCAGCTGTCCCATGGCTGAGGATGTCTTCGTGCATGTGGACATGAGCGGAGCCCTTCCTGATGCCTGCAACAGTGCAGGGCAGATGGGGAAGGAGGGAGGAGATGCGGGGAAACAGCAGAACGGTGGCTGCAAGCCACAGAATAGTGTGGAAAGTGTGCCTGAGGAGGTGCCTGCCTTTGAGAAGCTAAGCCCTTACCCTACTCCCTCACCTCCCCATCCTATGTACCCAGGGCGCAAAGTGATTGAGTTCTCTGAGGACAAGGTAAGGATCCCAAAGAACAGCCCCCTGCCCAACTGTACGTATGCTACACGCCAGGCCATCTCCCTCAGCCTGGTACAGAGTGAAGATGAGAGCTGCGACAGGCACCGGACACTCCCCAGCAGCCCTGCTTCAGAAGGGCGCCGTTCAGCCTCCAGCTGTTCCTGTCAGCAGTCCCCCAAAGCAGCCAGGGCTCACGGCTCTTCCCAGAGCAGCCCGTTCAGCAGCCCTCCCCAAATCCCGAGCGCCTTTGCCAGCTCTGCCAGCTCTGAAGAGGACCTGCTGGCTAACTGGCAGCGTATGTTTGTGGATAAGGCACCCCCCACCTCGGAGCGAGTGCTGATGAACCGCACAGCTTTCAGTCGTGACACAGCCCCCGAGCTCCAGAAGAGGTTCAGCCGCTCCATGCAGGAGTTGGGTAGGGCAGCGTCAGCTTACTCGGATGGTGAGGAATCTGCACAGAGCTGCAGCTGGACCGTGAGCCGGGACTCAAGTGTGGACACAGACAGCACCGAGTCCAGAGCCCGCAGGAGCCATTTCTCCTCAGACTATGGTACAGATTTCTCCCAGGATGAAGCCCAGAAGCTGGTGCTTGAAAGCAGTGGAGGCACTGCTGAGCCTGAAAGCCCCTCACCAGAGAAGCACAAGGACTATGTAGACCTTGGCTTGCCTGAGAGCCCAGCCGAGGAGAGAGAAATGCTGCTCCAAGGAAACAAGGAGAGCAGCCAAGGAGGTGTCCAAGAGGAAAGCGGAGAAGGCAGGGTCAAGCCTCCTTTCAGTCGGCCACACCGCAGCCCCAAGAGGATGGGGGTGCACCACTTACATCGCAAAGACAGTCTGACACAAGCCCAGGAACAGGGCAACCTTCTCAGCTGAGGCAGAGCAAGAAGCAGCCACGCTTAGCAGAGCTGTGGGATGCGCCCATCAGTCTACCTGAGGGAGAAGCCTCCCTTAGTACCCTCCTCCCCAGGGAAATCTGCTCTGAGATTTTATATTTATTCTCTTCTTTTGCTACCTGGAAGAGCTGGGATCTCCCTTCCCCAGCACGTCAGACCCACAGTACAAGCACACACAGTGTGCAGAAGCACACCCACTGCCCTGACACACTCGCAGCTCTCTTCACAGCCTCACACTGGTGCCTGTACCAGAGCTAGTTCTTGGTACCCCTTGTCCTGGTGCCTGTGCCTCTTTTTGATCTCATCCCCCTTCTCACTCAGGTACCTGAGGCCCTGAGTGCTCTCGAGTTGTTTCCCCACAGCTGCTCTGCTCTCTTTTAACTTGTGCCAACAGAGCAGAGTGCCTGTGTGGTGGTGTCTGATTCCCCGGGAGCCCCAGGGACTGTGACTGGGGCACGAGGACTGTCCCAGCAGATGGCTGTGTGCCGTGGGGATGTGCTGGGATTGCTGGTGTCTCATTTTCCTCCTGGGTTTTGTTATCTGCCTCTGCAAGGTCACTGTCGTGTGTCTCCAGGGCTGGGCCTGTGCACAGGGGCTGGTGCTGTGGTGTGGGGCACGGGTGCTGCCTGCTGAAGTGGTTTGAGAAGGCAGTGCCTGCTGGGCACTGGAGTTTGTGTCTCTTCCCTCACACCTCTTCCCTTGCTCTCTGTGCTGTTGTTTTGTTTGAACGGTGCTGATGCTTTGCTCTTGGGTGGGCTTCTTTCTTCTTTCCAAGCCTTTGGTTTTGGGGTGTATTGTTTTTTTCTTTCCCCCGCCCTGCATAAACAGACACAGCCGTTGGCAACCAGTCTGATGCCTGCACTGAAGGTGTGTTGAGAAGTCAGAGCTATCAGAGCTGCACTTCCCACTGATCCTGGCCTCCAGCCTGCAGAAACCCCTCCAGATTCAAGAACAAGGTCTTGCCCCAGGCAAGCAAGGCGTGAAGGATACTACCGGGCTTTTCTGGGAAGGGCTTGGTGCAGGGCCAGCAGGGATGCGAGGGCAGCGTGCTGAGGAGCTGCTCCCTGCAGATGCACTACCTCATGGCTTGGTAGCAGCCCTTCACTAGGGTCTCCTTGCACGCCCCCTTCTCTGGGAGGCCCCAGGCTCTGGTGTCTCTCTGAGGCCTCCCTTTATGGGTAGGGCTCTGCGTGTTTTTCCTAGCCTAGTGTGATTTTGTGTGACTTTTCTTCTCAGTCTTGTGTGCTTAGTGTCTTGTTGGGGGGGAGGGAAGGGGAGAGGTCTGTAGATGTAGGTATTTTTTGGGGGGCTTAAAAAGCCCAGGCCTCCTGTTTTTAATTTTGTCTTGTGCCCTTGTCTGTCTGGTGTTTCTTGGCTTCCATGGGGGTGTGGGGCAGAGAACAGCCAAGTTCCCTTCACCATACCCCCTTCAAACCTTGCCCTCCACCTGCTGTCTGGTTTTTGAGTTGCATTAGTGTTGTCCTCCCACCCTACACCATGCGGGCTCTCCATTGGGCTGGAGGAGAGCATCCTTCTCTCCAGGAGGGAGCATCTGTTCATATACTTACATCAAGATTTGCAGCCAAGAGCTGTCTGGGGGCCCTGCTCCCCTCCCCAAACCCCTGTCTCTGTAAAGGGCTTGCAGCTTGTAGCTGGGGCCAGCCAGGGCTTCAGCTTGAGCCTGGAGGCTCCGGGCCAGTGAAAGGGAGCTGCAGGCTTCTCTGGCAAGCTGTGTAGGTTTTTTTATGTACCCTGGGCAGAGCTGCTGCCTACACACTCACCTTTTTTCTCACCTGGAACAGTTGTGGAGCTGGATGCCACCCTCTAGTGGGGAGGTGGGACTCAGTATTTCACTGCAGTGTTTTTCACTGTGCAGACAGGCTGGTGCTGAGAGTGGGAGCCTTCTCTGAGCCTGCAGAGTGTTCATCTCTCCTGTCCCGGTTGTGATGGGGGGATGTCCTTGTGTTTGCTGCCATCAGCCACTCCACTGCTACATTTCTTTTGTTCTTCTGCAGCACTGCTGAGGGTTTGCATCTGCAGCAGCTGCCAGATCCTGCCTCACTGATGTCACCTGGGGTTGGATGCTCACTGAGCCAGCTGCTCTGGCTCTGAGGCTGCAATGGGGGAGGTATTGCCCCCAGGGCTCAGCCCCATCTACCCTGAATCCTGGCATGCTGGTCAGTGGACAAAACTCCTTTCCTGAGGCAATTGGACAGAGCTGGCCTTGCTCTGCTTTTGGTCAAAGTAGACTGAAAAGCAAAACAGTGAAGTGGAGGGTTGGCAAAGGTTTGCCCAGCACCTCACCAGACACTTGTGCTTTGCAGCATTAGGCTGCTGGCAGAGGTTGAGAGGGAGTGGTGGCCTCAAGCAGCAGAGCCCTCTCTTTCCCTGTGGGTATTGTGTCCTCGGCACTCGTGCCCACCTCCAGCAGTATTGGCTCTGGGGCCTTGAGCCTGTCCCACTTCCAGTGTCCCAACTCCAGACTGTTAATCTGTAACTAATGTGTTTTTTTCTGAGATTTTCAAGCTGATGTATATTTTAAGACCAGAAATAAACTATTTTAAAAGTAGATGGCAGTGGCTATATTTTACTTGATACTATATAAGACCTGGACTGGAATGATCCTGAGCATGTGATGGTGTAGAGCTACTCATAGTACAGTGTCCCAAGTTTGTTGAACTATGTGTGCCACCCATTGTCTCTTCCAGGGAGAGCGATCCTATGACCTGTAAGCTGATGCTGTAAGCACTCCTCATTGTTACTTGTAAGATTCTGCCTACCCCATTTCACATATTTTGCTGGCTGTACTGGTTGATCTGTCTTGATAGACCTCTACATTCTCATGTAGTGTAGGAGAAGGTGTAGCTAATCCTTTTAATACTTGGTTTTCTTGGAGTCCCAGCTTTTGGAGTCATCTGAGAGTATCACTTCAGAAATGGAGTGACATGGGACCACTTAATATACCCCCTTGCTGGAGTTCCTAAGAGGTTTATAATTCTGGATTCAGTATTTTGGTGAGGAGGGAGGATTGGGGGTGACTGGACATACCCCAGAGAGGAAGCCCTCCAACTGTGAGACAGAGAGTTCCTGCAGGATGCTGATGTAGACAGTTGGAAGTGTTTCCTTTTCATATTGAAGGGTGCTGCAGAAGTCAGAGGGCTGTCATGAGTTTTCCTCCATATCCCAAGTTCCACTGCATATACCGTTCTGACCTGGCTGCATGCAAACCTAACACTGGAAAGAGTGTCTTGTTTCTTTGTCCCTGTAATTAATGATTTTATTCCTTGTTCCCTTGAGTAGCAGCTGCTGCCACAGTTTAATCTTCTAGCCTAATCTGAGCCTTGAAACACGATCTTCATTGTCAGCAAGGGACGCTTGGCCAAGCAGTGCAACCCACAGTGCTGATGCGGGCTGAAGCCTTCACCAGGGTCTATAAGGCTGGTGTCAAGCTCCCTGCAGAGCTAGATTACCCTGCAGAGCTAGATTAGCCTTCGCTTCCTCCTGGCCCGAGGGAGGGCCTGGGGCCAGAAAAGTGGGCTGTCACCGACTCGTCTCCAGGACCGGGCCCGAGTCGTGGAGCCTCGGGAGGCGCGGCAGAGAGCGCCCGTGAGGCGGCGGGCGAGGGGCTGGCGCCCCCTGCCGGCGCTGCGGGCCCGCGGCTCCTGCCCGTGCCTGGCCTGGACGGGCCCGCAGCGCCTGCCCGCGCCTGGCGCCGGCCCATCCCTGCCCGTCCCTGCCGGTACCTCCCAGCCCCTGCCCGTGTCTGCCGCACTCTGCCCGTCCCTGGCGCCCGCCCGTCCCTGCCGGTACCTGTTGGCACCTCCCAGGCCCTGCCCGTACCTGCCGCTCTTTGCCCACACCCGCCGGTCCCTGCCCGTACCTGCCGATACCTGCCGGCGGCCGCCCTCCCGGGGTCGCAGTGGCGGAGGAGGACGCTGCCGAGTGGTGCCACCACATCTGTGACCTTTATAAAAGTCTCATGGCGACAGCAGTACAAGCGATAGAAAGGACATCTCTTATACACATCTGAATAAATACAGCCTGCGCTCTGCGGGCGCAGCCGGGCGTGGGGGTGGCAGGGCGGCGTGAGCTATACATGCGGAGACGGGGACAATCACAAGCGGCCGACGAGGCGTGTGACGGCACAGAGACGCGTGTAGAGGTTCGCTCGGACCAGGCTCCTGCGCTCGGAGCCGAGGGAGGCAGCGGCAGGAGGTGAGATGTGTGAGAACAGAGCTGGGGAGCCCCGCGGAGGCCGGGGCGGGCGGTGCGCGGGGCTCTCCTCGGCAGAAGCAGGCACGGTAGCCCAGCTACATTTCTGTTTCTGCTAAGAGGCTGTCACCGAGGCCTGACGTCATCAGGACCATCTGGGAGCTGGAATCTGTGTCGGGAGAGGGAGAGAACCATGAGCCGATCCCGCTGCCAGAGAGCGCAGGGCTCTACTCCGCATCCAGAGGTGAGGATGAGGAATTAAAACACCGCAGGGTGGGAAGAGAATTCCTGAGAGAAGTGTGAGATTAAGTAGGAACTAGGCCTGCTCTGGCCACACTGCAGAACAGAATCGATTTTTGGGGAGGGGGAGAAAGTAGAGACAGCAGCAAGAGGCCAGAGGAACATCCGGTCTGAGGTCTGAGTACCCCCGACATGCAGGTGATCCCGGTTGTGCTGGCCCAGCCGTGCCCTTAGCCAGCCCTGCACAGGCCTTTAAGTCTGCACTCATCGAGTGTTTCTCAGTAGAGAGAGAGTGTCCAGGTGGGGCAGGCTTCAGACTGCAATCCAGCCAGCACTACACAGGGTGGTGGTGTTGCCTTCCCAAGAGCAGGGAATGCCATGGGCAATCAGCCATGTTACAGCAGCAGAGGCCTGGAAATACTGACTTTCTGCACTGCATGAATGGAGGGTTTGTGCAGCCTTCCCCTGCCTGCCTCGGGGAGGTGAGGGCAGCTTGCTGGCTCTGCCATGGCTCAGAGCAACAGCCAGGAACACTGTGATTCTCCCCCAGCAAGTGAATCAACTGCAAGGAGAATGTAAGTAAGAAACTTAGCAGGGTACCAGTTTCTATCCGGAAGCCTTTTGAAACTCAAAAAAAATCTGTTTTTTCCTGTATGGGAGGGAGGAGATCTCTAGTGGCAGTCCTGCACATTCAAAACTACTGCAGAGGAATCTCTATTTCAGGAAGTGATTTCTGGAAACTAGATCCAAAACTTGGCCAAACTGTCACTAAATGATTTTTATGAGTTTAATAGATGAGGATCCAGATATTTTGAGGCTCAAGGATTGGTTGTGCTTGTCTGCTGGTAGTCTGATATGAGAATTGTGAGGGGTGAAGAACAAATGAAGGTAAAAAAGGCAAACCCTCTAACCAGCTGGATCACAAGGTGGGCATGACAAAATACAGTATCATATATGCAAACTACACAGAACTGACTACTGCTATCTCTGTAATACACCTTTTTTCCATTACAAGCAACAGACAGACAGTGGCACCTGGCTAACCCTTCACATCTTTGGGACGTAGGGATAGGAACAGCTGATGCTGTGCGGATTGCAGGGAGGTTCTGGAAACAGTGAGGAATGACACAAATTTTGGCTAGGATATCTGGCAAAGGCTCCCAAGATCTTTAATATTCCTGCCCTTGAGTTTTAAGACTTTCAGATTTCATTCCTGCAGCATCAGGAAAAATGCCTCAGAGGTACTGTTTCCGCTCTTTGCAGCAGCCGCATTGTCCTTGGAGGCTGCCTTTCCCAGAGCGGTGCAGCCCAACGCTATTTAACATGAAGGTCACACCTGGAGGTGTATGTATTCCATGGAGGTTGTATGTGTTCCATAGAGATTGTATGTATTCCAGTTCATGGGGAGAAGGGACAGACGCATTCACCAACCCTACTGCAAGAGGCCAGTGGCACTGGAAACACCCCAGACACCTCAGTTCTTGCCCCTCAGCTCCTGCCCCCCAGCCCAGCTCCCAGAGCTCTTACTGTTCTGGCAGATCCAGGGGTTCTTCTCCCTGGCTGTGACTTCGTGGGCCTCTGTCTCCTCCTCTTCCTCACCCTCTGAGAGAAGATCAGAGATCTGCTGCTGCAGCTCGGGACTAATGTTGTTCTCCGCCAGGATAAGTGTCCGTAGGGCTGTGGGGTAATTCTCTACCATGTCCAGCAAGGTCTGGGGGGAGAGTGAGATAAACAGCAAGCATCACAAAGGCTGAGCAGAAAAAGTGTCAGTGCTTTGTCTCCCTGAAAACTCCAGCTCTCCCCTCCTTACTTCTGTCTTTCCTTGGCCTTGGACCTCCCTTCATCAGGCTTTATGAGAGACTGAGGACTTCCCATCTTCCTATGGGAAGAGCCAAGCTTGGATTTTCTGGCTCTGTCTAAAGAAGAAGGGGCTGCTCTACACTGCTGCTGTCACATATTCAGGCCCATTCCCTCTTACCACTAGAAGCTGGAGATCTGAGAGGAGAGTCTGTGTAACTGAGCCTTGGCCTGTGTTTATCCACAGAGATTTAGTTCTGATTCTCAGCCAAAACTCCAACCTCATTTCTTCCAAGAAAACAGCCAGGGGAAAGCAAGGGGAAACCTCCCTGGGTGCAGGGAGGGAAGTGGGTGTGTGTGGACTCCAGCATGTGGTTGGAGGCAGGTGTGGGTCCTGGGGCCTCTGCAGATACCCCAGACCTGCGCCCTTGAGGTGCCAGTGATGCTGTAGAGTAACTGTGGGCTCCCATACCTGAGCTGACTGGTTGGTAAGTCCTGTTCCCTCCAAGTCCAGCACTTCGAGGGTTCGACTGGAGGCCACAGCGACAGCGAGCATCCCGGCTACCTGGTCACCTGTGGGAGGAGGAAACCAGGGCTGTCAGCAGTTCGTGCCTTCCCTCATGTAATGCCACATGCCCTCATGTACCCAGGGCTGTCATGGGAACATCCTCTGTGTATTTCTGCCATCAGACAACCTTCCAAATCTGTTACCTCATGGTGGAAAAAAAGCTATTAACTGAGAAAAGAGACAAAGAAAGGTGCACCATTTTGTGGTCATGGGAGCAGTCACTGATTATCAGGGGGAACATGAAGGAATACTGTGAGATTGGTTTTATTCCCCAAAGAACCATATCTTCCCAAATCTCCTTCCTACTCGAGGCAAGGGCCTTTAACAGTCCCTGTAGGGCATCCCAGACACAGAATAGGAACTAAATACTTCAGTCTAGAGAAAGGCTGGAGTCAGACAGAGGACTGCACCAGCTGGCAGACTGCCTCCCTGGAAAGGGCGTAGACTTTGAGGGGGGATGCAGCAGGATGAGGAGCATTGAAGATTGATGTTGGTGAAGAGACACGACTCTAGAATGTGTTCTGACATTCTCTGTGGAGTGTGAAGATGCCATACAACCGTGACGCCTTCTCTTGGAATAAAACCCAGACTGCTGTCAAGTAACACTCTGGGGCTTTTCCTGTCTGAGAGGAGGTACCTGGTCAGAGAAGAGGGCCTGGCGGAGGCTCTGCTTGCAGACAGGTTGAGGAGGGGAGTATCATCCCGATGCTCAGAGCAGCATGGCCCGATCTCCTCCTCACCACCTTGCAGCA